ATCAGGTTTGGAGAATTAAAATCCTTTCCAGACATCCAATCCCTAAAAGATTATGCAGCTTCCAGACCAGCTCTACAGGAGATGCTTAAAAAGGTATTAAGCACAGAAGAAATTTTTAAAAAGAATGACCACACACTTCCCAAAAGAACAGCAGAGCACAAAATCAACAGAGAATACAGTGCAACAAGAAACTTGAAAACACACTCATACATTAACCCCAACCAAAAGAAAACAAACAAACAAACAAAGAAAAAACTTTAAAAGAACCTCATGAGAGCAATAAACAATCACATTTCAATAATTAGCCTGAATATGAATAGACTAAATGCACCACTGAAAAGGCATAGAATGGTAAGCTGGATAAGAAACCATGACCCAATTATTTGTTGCATCCAGGAGACTCATCTCACCTCAAGGGACACACAAAGACTCAAAGTTAAAGAATGGGAAACGAGTTTCCAGGCAAATGGATCACAAAAGAAGGCAGGAGTTGCAATCTTAATATCAGGCAAAACAACCTTTAAGCTATCAAAAATTTAAAAAGATGCAAAAGGACACTACATAATGATAAAAGGTTCAATCCATCAACAAGAAATATCCATCCTAAACATATATGCACCCAACACAGGAGTACGAGTATTTATAAAGCAATTGCTAAGTAAGCCAAAAAAAGATATTGACTCTAACACTATTATAGCAGGGGACTTGAATACCCCACTAACAGCCCTAGATAGGATAGATCATTGAGGTAAAAAATCAACAAGGAGATTCAGAACCTAAATTTGACACTCAACCAAATGGACTTAATAGATACCTACAGATTATTCCATCCAGCAACCACAGAACATACATTCTATTCATCACCACATGGAACATACTCCAAGATTGATCACATCCTTGGCCATAAAATCAAGCATAAACAAACTCCATAAGATTGAAATCTTGCCATGTACATTCTCTGACCACAGTGGAATAAAAATAAATATCAACACCAACAGCATTTCCCCAACGCCCACAAAGACATAGGCACTAAACAGCATGATGCTGAAGAACTATTGGGTCAACACTGAAATCAAAGCAGAAATTAAAAGATTCCTGGAAAAAAATGAAAATGAGAAACATCTTACCAAAACCTCTGGGATGCCATGAAATCAGTTCTAAGAGGGGAATTTGTATCTCTATGAGCACACATCAAGAAAACAGAAAATCACAAGTGGAGAGCCTAACAAATCACCTAAGGGAACTGGAAAGAGAAGACCACCAAAACCCCAACTTTAACAGAAGAATCCAAATCACCAAAATAAGAGTCCAAACATGGGACACAGGAGATAAAAATATCATAGAAAATATAATCGAAACAAAAAGCTGGCTCTTTGAAAGAATTAACAAGATTGATGGACCCCTAGCTAGAATGACCAAGAAAAAAAGAGAAAAAGTCCAAATAAACACCATCAGAAATACAAAAGATCAAATTACAACTGACCCCAAAGAAATACAAAAGATTATCAGAGATTACCATGTACACCTATGTGGAAATAAACTTGATAACTTAAATGAAATGGGGGACTTTCTGACATCACACAACCTCCCCAGGTTGAAACAAGAAGACATTGAGACACTAAATAGACCAATAACAACCAGGAAATTAACTCTGCTATACAAAAACTACCTACAGAAAAAAAGCCCTGGACAAGATGGCTTTCCAGCAGAATTCTACAAAACGTACAAGGAGGAGCAGATACCAATCTTTTTGAAAGTATTCCAGGCAATTTAGAAGGATGGAATTCTCCCCAAATCATTTTACGAAGCTAACATCACACTGATACCCAAGCTGGGTAAAGATCCAACAAATAAAGGGAATTATAGGCCAATATCCCTTATGAACATAGATGCAAAAGTCCTCAACAAGATTCTAGCAAACTGGATCTCACAAATCATCCATCATTACCAAGTAGGCTTCATCCCCAGGATGCAGGGCTGGTTCAACATTCGCGAGACCATAAATGTAATTAAAATACATCAACAGATGTAAAAATAAGAACCACATGATTATATTAGATGCAGAAAAAGGTTTTGAAAAAATCCAGTATCCCTTCTTGATAAAAACCCTCAAACACCTATGTATAGAAGGAACATACCTCAAAATAGTAAGTGCCATCTATGATAAACCCACAGCTAACATATTGCTAAATGGACAGAAACTGAAAACATTTCCCCTAAAAACTGGAACTCTCACCCCTCTTGTTCAACATTGTGTTGGAAGTCCTAGCTCAGGCAACTAGACAAGAGAAGGAAATCCTGGGTATCCAAATAGGAAAAGAGGAAGTCAAGTTATCCCTCTTTGCTGATGATATGATCCTATACCTTGAAAATATAAGCGAATCTGTCAGAAACCTGCTTCCACTGATAAAGGACTTTGGCAAAGTCTTGGGGCACAAAATAAATGTGCAAAAGACATTTGCATTTGTATACATCAACAACAAGCAGACAGAGATTCAAATTAAAAGCACAATTCCATTCACAATAGCCACAAAAAATATTCCATTCTCATGGATAGGAAGAATCAACATTATTAAGATATCCATCCTACCAAAGGCAATCTACAGATTCAGTGCAATACCCATTAAATTACCAGCATCATTCTTCTCAGACCTGGAAATGACAATACAGAAACTCATATGGAAACATAAACGACCACAAATAGCCAAAACAATCTTTAGCAAAAGAAACAAAGCAGGAAGTATCACACTTTCAGACTTCAAACTTTACTATAAGGCTACAATAATCAAAACAGCCTGATATTGGTACAAGAACAGGCATATGGACCCATGGAACAGGATAGAAATTCTGGAAGCAAAGCCTCAATTTCTCAACCAACTCATCTTTGACAGTCTCCAACAACAACCACCGGGGCTCTTCACTGGGAACATATTCAGTAAATGGTGCTGGGAAAACTGGCTGATCATATGCAGAAGATTGAAACAGGACCCCTACCTATCACCATACACAAATTTAACTCTAAATGGATCAAAGACCTAAACGTAAAACCTCCAACTATAAGAATCATAGAAAACGCAGGAGACACCCTTATGGAAATTGGAACTGGCAACCAATTCCTATTCAGAACCCTAAATACCCGTACCTTAAGAAATACCATAGACAAGGGGGACCTCATCAAACTAATGAGCTTCTGCAAAGAAAAAGAAACCATCAAGAGAGCAGAGAGACAGGCAAGAGAATGGGAAAAAATATTTGCCAACTGTACATCTGACATAGGCGTAACACTTAGGATCTATAAGGAACTGAAACACGCCAAAGGGAAAAAAACAAACAGCCCCATTAAAAAGTGGGCAAAAGGCATGAGCAGACATTTTTCAAAAGAAGATATACAAGCAGCCAACAGACACATGAAAAAGTGCTCAGCCTCACTCATCATCAGAAAAATGCAAATCAAAACCTCATTGAGATACCACCTAACCCCAGTAAAAATGGCCATCATTAATAAAACAAACAACAGATACTGGTGAGGATGTGGAGAAAAAGGAATGCTTCTACACTGCTGGTGGGAATGCAAACTAGTACAACCTCTTTGGAAGACAGTGTGGCGATTTCTGAGAGAACTAGAAATTGACCTTCCATATGCTTCCAATAGCAATTCCCCTATTGGGAAAATACTCAGAGGAACTTAGATTATTCTACATAAAAGATACCTGCACATGCATGTTTGTTGCAGCAATATTCACAATAGCAAAAACATGGAACCAACTGTGTTGCCCATCGAAGCTGGACTGGATAAAAAAAAAATGTGGTACATATACACAATGGAATATTATGCAGCCATAAAGAAGGACAAACATATGAACTCTGCAGCAACTTGGATGGATTTAGAGTCGATCATACTCAGTGATCTATCACAGAAAGAAAGAACAGAGTACCATATGTTCTCACTCATAAGTGGACCTTGAAAAATTATAATACTATAAGAAAGGGATTGGCTATAGTGGGAAACTGTCAGGGGAGCAGGGGTGGGATTGGCAGTTGAGGGAAAGTTGAGGGAGGGGTGTACCTCATCAACAAGGGTACCTGCATAATCAATGTTTGTGTACCTAATCCTGAATTGTTCCCCAGATCTTTATAATACAAAAAAGAATAGAGAGAATGGGGGGAAGCTTATGCAAAGGGAAAAGATGGCTGACTGGAGAGTGAAACAGCAAGAAGAGTCTAGGTTGACTCTTGATTTGGGGTTACTGAATATAAGGGATACCTTTTATTAAGATGAGAATAGGAAGAGAAAGAACAGTGGAAAAGGGATGGGCTTGGTTTAGATCATGTGAATTTGAGATTCTGAGTAATACCTAGGCGGATATTTTAGAAGACAACAGGAAATCAATAACTGGACCTGAGGAGAGAGACATGAACTAGCGCAATCAAGCTGAGAGCTATCAAAATAATATTGGTAGTTGAAGACACTGTGATAATATTATGACTAAGCTGAGGAAGTAAAAGGGTAAGTTCATGTTGAGAATGTGAAAGGCTAATAAGAAGGTAAAGTGGAAAATCAAGAGAAAGTCGTTTCACAGAAGGCAAGAGAAAAGAGAATTTGTTTAATTTATTTAGTGCTACAGTTAAACAACAGAAATAAAATGATTTAAAAATAATTATAACATGTGGCTTATTATTCCTAAATAGAATTGCTTCTCAATATTATTTTACAAAGAACATATACATCTGTGAATAAAAGGCTACCAAGTCAACTCTAAGGGCTTGTTTTGTTTACTTTTTCTTCTATAGTTTCAATAAGCTAATTATTAGAGGTGAACTTTATATGCATAAAATTAGATTTATACAATAATCACCCCTACTTTTAGTGGAATTTAAGATTTTATTTTCTGAATAGAAGACAAAATACTACAGAATAATTCTTCATAACTTCTATGTACTCATTTTACCTTAAAGTCTTACAAGAACTATTGAACAAGAAAGAGCCATGAATCAATTACCTCAATGCCCATCTCTCCAGGAGGACCAGCATCACCTTTTAGTCCTCGTGGTCCCTATATTAAAATAAATTTAAAGTATGAGAACAAAAGTTGACTCTGTTTCAATAAACATAAACATCTAGATATGCAATTTATAACAATATATATTTATATAATGCGTAATTATATAAATGAAGAATACATTTATCAACATATTACTTTACTCTGCATAAAAATTATATCTTTAGTTGATTAATCTGTGCTTTTTTAATACAATTATTAAGCTATGCTTGGATCAAAAGAAAAAGATAGAAAAAAGGACTATTCTTTCTTTTATTCCTTAATGCACTAATTCATTCAGCAAACATTTATCAAGCTCCTAGTATCACATATTGTGCTAAGTGCTTTCACAAGTTATCTTAACTAGTGGGTATGACAACTACCCCTCTCCTTAATATTCCTAGGAAATATGTGACAAACAAATTTGCATTTCTAAGAAGTAAATATATGATCTTTTTTACTGTCTCTATAGTTTTTCCTTTTCCAGTAGTTGGAATCGTATACCATGTAGCCTTTTCAGACTGGGTTTCTTTAACATAGCAGTATGCTTTTAGGTTTCTTTATACATTTTTAAGGCTTGATAGATAACTTATTTTTTAATTTTTAAAAATTTATTTATTTACTATAAAGATGTGGGGTACAATTCAGGGGATAGATAATTTATTTTTAATTGCTGGAATAATATTTTATTGTATGGGTGTACCACGGTTTGTTTATCCATATGTCTATTGAAAGATATTGTCTTAGTTCACTTGGGGTGTCACAATAAAATGCTATAAACTGATAGGCTTGTAAGCAACATAAATTTATTTTTCACAGTTCCAAGGGCCTGGGAAGCACAAGATCAACATGCTACCAGATTCAGTATCTGGTGAGGGGCCACTTTCTGCTTCATAGATGGTGCTTCCCAGCTGTGTTCTCATGAGCTAGTTCTCTCAGGCCTCTTTTATAAGGGCACGAATTCCACAGCCCTCATGATCTAATCACCTCTCAAAGATCCCATCTTCTAATACCATTACCTTAGGGGCTAGGAATTTTGGCAAAACACAGTCTGATCACAGTAGACATACTGGTTGCCTCGAATTTTTTGCAGCTCTGAATAAAGATGTTATAAGCATTCATGTGTAGGTTTTTGTGTGGACATAAGTTTTCTGCTCATTTGGGTAAACACCAAGAAGTGTGATCACTGGATTGTATGGTAAGCACATGTAAGAAACTGACAAACTGTCTTCCAAAGTGGCTGTCCTATTTTGCATTCTTACCACCAATGGGAATTTTCATTGCTCCACATCTTTTCAGCATTTGGTATTGTCAGAATGTTGTATTTTAGCCATTCTATATGTCTGTCATCAGGGTCAGGACATTTTGGAGGGGTTCCATTGCTTGACATCTGGGAAGTCTTTTTATGGATGTTGACTTCTTAAGGCTTTGGGGGTTGCCAGTGTATTGTCACGGGTTTTTCCTCAACTTTAAGGGCAAACTCTTCTCTTTTGATTTCTTGTTTTGCTGTTTTTAAGTCAGATAAGGTTGCTCCTGTTGGGGTGGCCAATTGTGGAATTTTTAAAAATTGTTTTCTTTATCTCACAGGGTGGTCCCCTGTTGTGGTACACTCCCCCTTCCCTTGGGGGAGGTAATCTGTGAGGGTTCAGCTACATGAGTCCTGCTGCTCTTCTGGGTCTAGCTGCCCTATGAGGCTGCCACCATTTCGCTGGCGCTAAAGGGAGCCTGCCAGGTATTTAGTGATAATGTGAAGGCTCTGCATCACTTTATACCATATTTTCTTCTTTAGCCTGCTGAGGTGATGGACTATATGAACTGACGTTCTAATGCTGAACCAGCCTTACATACTTGGAATAAATTCCATTTGATGATGATGTAAAATTCTACATTGCTAGATTAAATTTGCTAATACTTTATTGAGGATTTGTACATCTATGTTCATGATATTGGTCTGTAGTTTTATTTTTTTGTAAAGTGTTTGCCTGGTTTTAGAGTTAGAGTAATAATGGCCTCACACAATTTGTTTGGGAGTGTTCTGCTATTTCTGTTCTCTGGTAGGGATTTTGTATCATTTATTCCTTAAATGTTTGGTAGAATTCATCAGTGAGATCATTTGTACCTTGTACTTTCTGTTTTGAAAGGTTATTAATGATTGATTTCATCTCTTTAACTAATAAAGGGCTACTCTGATTTTCAGTTTCTCTTTATGCGAGTTTTGGTAGAAAATGTCTTCCAAGGAACTGGCATATTTTCAGAGAAGTTATCGTATTTGTGGGCATAGAGTTGCTCATAATATCCATTTATTATCATCTGAATGTCCATGAGATCAGTAGTAATAACCTTGCTTTCACTTCTGATATTAGCAATTTATTTTTTCTCCCTTTGCTAACCTGGTTAGGGGTTGACCACTTTTATTAATCTTTAAAATAACCAGCTTTTGATTTATTAGTTTTCTCTATTGTTTTTTCATTTTCAATTTCAATGATTTCTGCCCTGATTTTTATTATTTTTATTTTTCTGCTTACTTTGGATTTACTATGCTCTTCTTTTTCTGGCTTTCAAAAACTGGAGGCATAGGTTATTGACTTGAGATCTTTCTTTTTTCTTACTATTTGCATTGAATGTTATAAATTTTCTACTATGCACTGCATCCCACTAATTTTGATAAGTTGTATTTTCATTTAGTTTAAAATATTTTTAAATTTCTCCTGAAGCCCCTTTTTTTTTTTTAAACTAATATGATATTTAGAAGTATGTTGTTTAATCTCCAAATGTTTCGGGATTTTCCAGCCATGTCTCTGTTACAGATTTTTATTTTAGATCCATTGTGGTCTGAGAACAGACATTGTATGATATCCATTCTTCTAAATTTGCTAAGGTGTGTTATATGACCCAGAATGTGGTCTATTTTGATGACTGCTCCATGTGAGCTGGAGAAGAATGTGTGTTCTTCTGTTGTTGGATAAAGTATTTTATAAATGTCAATTTGATCTGTCCAACTCACTACTAATTTTCTGCCTGCTGGATCTCTCAGTTACTGGTAGAAGAGTGTGAATGTCTCCAACTATAATAGTAGATTCATCTATTTCTCGCTGGAGTTCTCTCTGCTTTTTCTTTTTTCTGCTCTGTTTTTTTTGTATTTTGATGCTCTGTTTTTAGGTGTATAGACATTAAGTACTGTTATGCCTTTTTTTGAGAAGTAACTCTTGTTATCTTTATGTAATACTCCTCTTTTTCCTAATAATTTTCCTTGTTCTGAAGCCTTGCTTTGTCTGAAATTAATATATCCATTTCAGCTTTCTTTTTTTTCTTTACTAGTGCTAGCATTGTATATCTTTCTCCATCCCATTATTTTAAATATATTTGTGTCTTCATATTTAAACTCAGCTTCTTAAAGACAACATACAGTGGGTCTTTTTTTTTTTTAATTTTAAAGATGTGGGGTACAATTCAGGATTAGGTATAAAAGTGGACATTGTACAGGTAAAGTTTGGGCCTTCCTTTGGTCCCCCACTTCACCTGATTTGAGACTAGATATCCTTATTGATGTTGTGTCCCCACCCCTACACTGGCAGTATCCTGCTACTGCCAATCCCTTTCTTATAGTCTTATGGCAAATATTCAGAGTCCACATATATGGTACTCTGCTCTTTGTTTCTGTGATAGATCATAGAGTATTATAGACTCTAAATCCATCCAAGTTGCTGCAAAGTTCATATGTCTGTCTTTCTTTATGGCCATGTAATATTCCATTGTGTATATGTACCACTTTTTTTTTTTTTAATCCAGTCCAGTGAGCATCATGGTTGGTTCCATGTTTTTGCTATTGTCAATAGTGCTGCAATAAACATGCATGTGCAGATATCTTTTTTGTAGAATGATTTGAGTTCCTCTGGGTATATTCCCCGTAGGGGGATTGCTGGGTCATATGGAAGTGTCTATTCATGTCTTTTGTCCACTTTTTAATGGGGCTGTTTTTTCCCTCTGGCTCACTTGAGTTCCTTGTAGATTCTGGATTGTTAGACCTTTCTCAGAGATACAGTGGCAAATATTTTTTCCCATTCTTGGGCTATCTCCTCACTCTCTTGATGTTTTCTTTTGCTTGCAGAAGCTTTTCAGTTTGATGAGGTCCCACTTGTCTATCTTATCTCTTATGGCATAGAAATCTGGGGTTTTGATCAGGAATTGGTTGCCTACTCTGATTTCTGTAAGGGTGTCTCCTGCATTTTCTAAAATTGAGTGCTATATTTTTTATCTGCTCTGACAATCTCAATCTCTTAAGTGGTGCATTTAGACCATTCACATTTAAAGTGACTATTGATGCAGCTGGGCTAATATATACCATAATTATCAGTTTTCCATTTGTTGCCCCTGTATTTTGTTTCCCCCCCTCCATCTTTCACTTTTTTGCTGTTTTTAATTAAGTACTTTATATGATTCCATTTTCTCCCCTGTTTTAACATACAAACTGTACTACTTTTAAAACTATTTTTAAGTGGCTGCTCTAGAGTTTGCAATACTATTTGCAATTAAACCAAGACCATGTCCTTCCTTCCCTTTTTAATATTAAATTTTATTTTATTATAGAGATGTGGGGTACAAATAAGGATTAACTACACAAGTAGGCTGCATGCAGGTGAAGTCTGGCCTCCAACTGGCCCTCACTCTCCATGGTATAGGACTAGGTACCCTTTGTGTTGGTATAAGCCTCCCTTCCCCCCTGGCAATGCCCAGTGACTGCTGATCCATCCCTTGTGCTAATGATATTAATGTTCAGGTCCCACTTATAAATGACAACATGTGATATTCAATTCTTTGTTTCTGTGATAGATCACTAAGTGATGGTCTCCAACTCCATCCAATTTGCTGCAAAGTTTATGATTTTGTTCTTTATGGCTGTGTAATGCTCCATCGTGTATATGTGCCACATCTCCTTTATCCCGTCCAATTTAAATGGGAAGTAGGGTTGGTTCCATGTTTTTGCTATTGTGAAAAGTGTGGCAATAAACATGAGT